AAAAAATGAGAGGAAGAAAAAATGAAAATTACTGGATATCTTAAGTGAACTAAATTCCTCACTTTAATTCAGTCCTCAATAGAACTGAATCCCATGGGTTTTGGTTGATAAATCAAGAAGAGAGGCATGCTTGATTTTTATTTATTGTTTATTACAAAGTCTTTATAAAAATAATTTTAGTGGCTGCATGATACCTATCTGGCAATTTATTAAGTACCTAGATAGTTGGATATATACCTTTTGCTGTTACCAAGTACGAGGACTAAAATTACTAGACAGGGGTTTAGAATGCTTGACAACTCTTACTTACAGTTGGAGAGGCAATTTCCAGAAAAACAAAAGTTATAAATGGTTAACAGAGGATGATGGGTTAGAAGAGGTGCAGAACGTGACTACATGCCTTTTATTTTCTGTTCTTTTGGACATTTGATTATTTTCTTTGTACATGTTTATATAATATTTGTGTATTATTGTGTTATTTAAACAATATGTTATCAAACATTCTAAACCTTTCTCTAGTAGTTTCAGTCCTAGAATTCAGTTACAGTAGAAATTATAAGTCCAGTTGTTATATTCTATAGCCACTAAAATTATTTTTATAAAGAATCTATAATAATTATGAGAAAAACTTCTGTTAAAATGTAAAATGAAAACTGCAGAACATGAAATTGCATATGGACTATGGTCACAACTATATATTAAAAAACAAAACAAAACAAAAAAACACAAGGGCGCATGGATGGCTCAGTCAGTTAAGCGTCTGACTTCAGCTCAGGTCATGATCTCAGGGTCCTGGGATTGAGCCCAACCTCTGCCATGTCAGGCTCCGCACTCAGTGGGAAGTCTGCTTGAGACTCTCTCCCTCTCCCTCCACCCCACCCCCTGCTTGTGAGCTCCCTTTCTTTCTCTCTCTGTCTCTCTCTCTCTCTAAAATAAATAAATAAATCTTTAAAAAAATAACAGAAAGCAAAAAAATCATCCTAGAATTTTTTTAATGAGAAAAAGTATCCTAAATGTTAACAGTGGTTGTCTTTGGTAAGAGGCACTACGGGAATTTAAAAATTCTTCTTCTAACTCTGACTTTCACATTTTTGTTAATAAAGAAAATGTGTGATTTTTTTTTTTTAATGAAGAGGGAAGGAGATATTGAACTGTGAATTCATGGCAACAAGGACTGTCGGCATAATTTAACTTGGTAGGTCTTGTTTTACACATAAGAAGAGAATGGACACAATCAGGTGATTTCTGTTTGTCCTCTTTGCTGCCAACAGAACTGAGATGACACTGAAAGCATTTGAGTCCCCACTAGTTGAGTCACAGTCCAGATGAACCCCAAATGACTCTATTATCTGCTGCCAGTTATGTGAAACACATTCTCTGAGGGGATAGAATTCTTCACAGCACAAGAGCAATCCCAGCATCAGGAAACAGGAGATTCTAAATCCAGCTGTACCACCACCTGCCATGAGCTCATTCTAGTCACCTTCCTTCCACAGGTAACCCTGGTCTCTAGCAGGGAGCCAGAGTTGTACCATTTCTCTAATCCCTCAAGGTCTTGGCTCCCCTGCAGAGCTATGACTCCATTGGTGACTCAAATCTACCACTAAGGGAAAATGCATTCCCTGAAGCAAAACAACTCCATATGGCAAAATGCTGCCCCCAAAACTGACTACAAAACACTGTTAATCTACCCACCCAATACTCACCCTGAAAGGGATTTCAGTGTATTTCAGATATAACCCTGATGTCTTATTGTTCATGGTTATTTCAGCCAAAAGAAATTACATAAAATGAGGGAGCAGAGGTGGGTTATAGTGAGGATGGGGAGAGGAGAGATGAGTGGAAGCTATTAACACCTACTGAATGTTCTAGAACTTCACATACCTCCTTTAATGTTTACAAAACAGGGATGGAGAGGAAAGCGGAGCTTGGTTGACTAGGTTCAAAAAGCCAAATCTGTCCTGTTCAAAATCCAGTGCACTTTTCATTCTCTCTATCAATGTCCCTAAATATGTGATTTGTGTGTGTACTAGAAGTGAGCAGTTAAATATACTTATGGTTTATAAATAAAACATTTATAAAAGTGATGATTTTTATTCATGTGCGGTGAAACCACCAGTTGAAATTTGTAATGACTCATTGACAAGTTATGTTCTGACTTTCAAGTAACAAAATTAGAGTTTAAAGGTTTTTGATGATGAGAGCATATTTCTGATGGGACAGATTGAAGAGGATATGAATTTCAGTTTCTCCAGGTAACCCCTACAGGTAGATTTTAAGCAGAAGTGGTATGTATACTTAAAACTGGGCTTTCATATGGGTAAAATAGAGACTTCTGCTTACAACCAAAAGGAAGTAACAAGGACTGGATTTATCCTCCCACCTGAAACATAACAGCAGCAGAAACTGATAAAAAAGTGAAACAAAGATCTGCAAGACACTGTACTTAAGGCAACAGAATATAATGATTCCTGGAAGATGGAGAAAAAATAAAGTGAGCCCTAAAGTTGCCCCAGTTTATCATCCTGGGAGTTCAAATTCCAAGGCAAAGCACAGGAGTTCAAATTAAGGAGGAGCCTTTCAGACTCCCTAAGTTGAGGAGATGGAATGGAGGACCCAGGAAGACCAAGTCCACCAGAGTCCACAGAACAGTGCTGAGTACAAAAGAGCTGCTAAGAGAGAAACTCAACAACCACAGACGACCTGCCTCAACTCCTCAGCTGAGAACTGATCAGCATATACTTGTAAACAAACTATTCAAGGCCATGAAAAGACAGACCCTAAGGATTGGAGGTAACAGTGCCTGGCATCAAAAGAAGACTGGGAATAATGCCTGTTCCCACCAACCATACTAAAAACGTTGAAATTCATGGGGCCTCAGTAATAGTGAACACTAGACTTAGGATACTAAGGACGCTTAAGGTGCACTGCTCCTAAAAGAATCTTCAAAGCAAGACTCAAAATCATCAAACTGTTTCCAAGTACTCAAATGTGTTCTGAAGCAAAACTCAAGAATATTTAAGAGGATACAAAAATATCCATTACCCAACAAGGTAAAACTCATAATGTCCGGCATCAATAAAAAATTAGCAGGTATACAAAGAAGCAAGAAAATAGAACTCCCAATGAAGAGATAAATCAATCAAATCTAACCTACAACCTCATAGAGGTTTGAGTTAACAAATAAAGACATAAAAACCAGAGCTAGGACTAAGGTGAGACAGAAGAGGCATGTAAGGCTCAAAATTTCAGGAGACACTGACTCTCAAACTTGTGTAAATGCAGATCAGACCAAGAGAAGTTAGAGAGGTAAAACTCTAAGCAACCACAAAAATAATAAGATAAAGCCAACAAAGAAGATAGCATAAAGTCTTTTTTAAACTATGTAATAAATCCCAAAGAAGACAGAGAAATAAGAAAAGGAGACCAGAGAACAGATAGGACAAACAGAAAACCAAAAGCAAGATGATGAATTTAAATTTAATAACACCAATAGTCACATTAAATATAAATGGATAAATACTCCCAAATTAAATGGCAGATATTGTCATATTGGATAAAAAAGCAATACCCAAATACTGCCTACAAGAAATACACTTGAAACACAGACACAAATAAGTTAAAAGTAGAAAGATAGAAAAAAGATATATCATGCTAACACTAGCCAAAAGAAAGCTGGAGGAGCTATATTAATATCAGATAAAATAGGTTTCAAAGAACAAAATATTACCATGGACCAAAATGATTATTTCATAATAATAAAATGTTTGTTGGATTAGAAGGACATAAAAATATTACCCACTCATGCCCCTAATATCAGAGCATCAAATTACATGAATAAAAAACAAAACTTCAAAGCGTAATAAATCTAAAATTATAGCTAGATATTTCAATACCCCATTCTCAATAATTGCTAGAATAAGTAGACAGAAAATTAGTAAAATTAAATTTGAACCACACTATCAACCAACTGGATCCAAAAGATATTTAGAAGAACAATCCATCTAAGTGAAATAAGTCAAGCAGAGAAAGTCAATTATCATATGGTTTCACTTATTTGGGGAACATAAGGAATAGCATGGAGGACATTAGGAGAA